ATATATATATATATATATATATATATCTGTGTGTGTGTGTGTGTGTGTGTGTGTGTGTGTGTGTGTGTTTTAAGATTACTTTTTTAACCTGAATATTAATTTTTTCAAGTTTCAGTATTTTTCTGAGTGTGCAAAGTATTCAAATAAAAATGACTTCCAGAATTAAAACTGTGTGTTTTTGAAGGTTATAGTCTTCTTGTATTTCAAAACTTGAGAACTTTCTGTAAAATAATATAAATTGAGAAGGTTCATAAATATTATCAAACAATGGGTTTATCTGTTATAAACTAATAAATGTTAGTGAAGCTTCAGAAACATAATGGAAATTTTTCTTTACTGACTGTCATGGTAATAACACTTTATTTCACTAGCTTCTATATGCTTTATTCCAGTTCCAATGGTAGCAGTACATTCGCCTCCTGCAAGTGTGGCAGAAGTCGTCCGATTCAATACTGGGACCCTGAGGAGAGGGGCTCCTGGTGAAGCAGACTCCACTGCCCCCAGGAGTTTAAATCGCAGTGGGAACAGTCAGTATTACTACGGCTGACAAGGGCTTCCCGGCTCTCCGAGAGCCCAGCCAGCTCCTCCACCAAGTAACGCCGGAAACACTAGTGGAGGCACGATATGCCCTGGTACACGTACTTATTGTTTTTAGCATCAAACTGTGCAGTGAGGAACAATTGCACATGACACTTTGAACCAAGAATGTGCCACTTCCATTCCCAACCTTTTTATCTGTGAGAAGTTTGTGTTCTCCTGAACTCTCAGAGTTCATAGTGAATCATTGGATGTGGCTGAAGACAATAGAAAATTTACAAATGACAGTCAATCAGTGTGGAGTAACCATCTAGCATATATCATGGAGATGTGTTAAAAATACTACATCAGGGTCACTTGGCCACCATATGTTCTCTTCATTGTTATTGCCAACTAATTTTTAGCATTTCTCTAATTTTTGTACAAACACTACGATAGCAATTTGTCTCTTCATGACAAAACAAATATAACCTACTATGTTTACATTATTATGTTGTATTGATATTATCAACTAGTTCTGAAGATCTAGTTTAAGTTCAGGGAATTATGTTGTTAAAATTGTATCTGAAATGTATGATAATAATTATACCTTATATTGAATATTAAATAAGATTTTAATAATTATTTATCTTGTTTGTATTTATATGTAGCCTAACATGATATTATTTAATTCATAATCATCAAAGATATCTTGCATCGTTAAGAACAGTAGTTTTGTCAAAGAGACCTGCTCATATTACTTTTATCATTAACCTGTTAAACAATTAGTTGGCATTTTTACCTGGAAGAATTTATGGTTGGTGCCTTGAGGTGAATTGTTTGTACACTTAAGAGTGAAATATGTTACATTATTTATCTTCATTGTTATTGGACACTACTTTTCTAGTGCTCAGTATGTGATCATTAACTGAACAATAAATAAGAAAAGAAGTTTATAAAAGAAGAGACTATTTGTGTACAATGCTACAAGCAGAAGAAATGTGAAGAAGTATGCAAGAAGAAAACATTCAACATAAATTTACCAGTGAAGTGGAAAACAAGCAAGTGTGTCCATACCCGTGTCACAGCTACAAAACTAGATGTATTGTCTTGATTCTCTTGTACAGTGTAATACAAAGAACAAATTTTAAATGCTGAATGTGTAGAAACCAACTGACAACATAATTTTAGTAAATAATCTCTCATGGTTTTAAACATGGTGTTGTGTTTTGTACCTTCAGAGCCCAAAACATATTATTCACATCTTTCTCTTCTCCCGTAAGTAGTAGGCTATTGTAGATCAAATTTTTTGGAATACTATTCTTTTGCTTTATTTCTCACATCCCTGACAATAAGTTCATTTTATGTTCCTTTCCCTTCATGCAAATATGCTCTCTCATATCTACTAAAGTGGATAATTGAATGAACTTTTCAGCCATGTAGAGGCCCACAGTTCTTGTTTTTTTATTTTCAAAACATTGTGTTTAGCACAAAATCAATTCCAAATAATATTTATGTCATCTTATCAATGATGTAATGCAAAAATTGCTAACTCTGTGAATTTTAAGTGCAATCAGTGGGTGAAATCAAAATGTTTGAAAGAAAACTTTTATGTTCAAGTATAAACTAAAAATATCATATATTTTTGTACTGGATTTGCAAAGTAGCTTCTTTTGTTGTGATTTTTTTCTTCTTCCTCACAGAAGAGTAATTAAGATAGTGGCTTTCAGTTGTTTTTGAACAATAATTTTGCCTCTGGCTAGGGAAATTTAGACCAAATTTCTTCCATAATAATACAAATAAACTTTGCATTTCTAATTTTAACCTTTTTAAGAATACATATACATTGTTCTCTGTACTTGAGGAAGGAATAGCCAGTTTCCTAATAATTTTCTTTCACCAGTTTTGTTCTATTCCTTTAGACATTATTTAAATCAACAGGGCTACATTCCATTTCTCTAAAAAAATTAAAATTTTCAAGTTTTAAAATAAATAGAATATCCTCTTAATGCAAATGGTGTTGAATTAGGAGAGCTTGTCAGTCCTAAAAAAATCTGAATTAATACCAGGGGGAAATTAACAATTTTATATCAAATAACTACTAATTGATTGATTTAAATTGTGAATATATGTAGTATAATTAGATGATAAATAAAATGGTGCCTTGGATAGAATAAATGGCAAAAATCCACTGAAAGCACCACTCCAAGATAATATTTTACTTTATCATGCCAAGAATTCTTGTCATATCTCATCTTTCTATTATGATTTTCAATCTATATTTTCATTTCTTAGTATATCTTTTTTTGTACCTTGCTGGTATTCAGTTTTATCAGTTTTTGAGAAGCCTTTCAGAACTGACCTTCTAAATGGCTTTACCATAAAAATATTTTCTTTTAAACATTATATATTCAATTATCTTTTAATAGTCTGTTCTTACATGAACAAGTTATTATGACCTTCAGTATCTCCTCCGGAATATGTTTTCTATATTGTATTCTTTGTCAGCTTGGTTTAGTACCCATGGTAAAGAACCAGATGCTACTGTGCTTTCTACAGCTGGTTTCTACCAGCTTTAAACATATGTTTCTTCTTTTAAACATACTTGTACCCCAAAGTAGTGTGTTTAATTTGTTTATTAGATGTTGACCCTTTCTGATTTTTAAAAAAATATCTGCTTGTTTTGTGGCACCCTTGGTGTAAATCACTCCTAAATAATTAAATTATTTTAAATTTTTAACCTTAGAAATATGGGAGATTAACTTTTCCCATTCATTGCCTACTACCAACTACTAAACTTTCTCCATGTTTATTTCCTATACCCATTTTTCAAATTTCTTTGCAAGTTTCCTCAGAATATAGCTAGCATCATTTACACCATCAGCAAGGACAACTTTGAAATGTGAATGTTTTATTTCCATCTGAATTCTTAATTTTACTCCACTTTCTTGACTACACAGTCTCAAGACAGAAGTAACATATGTATATTTTTAAGAATGTATGGGAGAGACAACTTGCTTGTCATAACCCTATGTTGATCTTGGAAAGCTCTGAAAGAACTGCCTGAATAGGGATCAATCCCCTGGCTTGTAAAATTCATAAAATAAAATTTTAAAATCTCTTTGCCATATTAATGTTTCACCCATGTATATTGTTTTCCCTCATTGCCAGACAAATTTTCCATTGGTCCACAGTTGTATATGTTTGAAAGGTCTACAGTACAATTAAGGAGATGCAATGGGCACCCAGGAGATAAGGACTTGTCCATCAGCTGTTTCAAACACAAGATATTATCCAAACAGAACTGACTTGGTCTAAATCCTTCCTTCTCTTCCAATTTTATAAAAAATTCCATCCAAGGAATCTTACTGTTAATGGAATGATACTTAAACCCCAGTAATGTAAGCACTTTCCCAATCAATTGGGTCAGTTTCTGCTGGTATCTATTGATTATTTCTGCCTAATATTCCAAAACAACAGGGACATGTTTCAATAACTCCACAGTAACTCTTTCTGGACCATGGGCTTTATTGTTCATCACAGCTCTTTTCTTATTTTGTGTACATTTATATTTTCTCAGACACTATCTACATCCATGAGGGAATCATTTTACTTTTAAATATAATCTAGTTTTATGATAAAAGACTTTCATAATACTTTATCCATTTTTCTTCAATAGTAAGGCTGTGGTGGTCCATGCTGCGGCCACTTGAGAGGACTGTGTTCAAAAAAAGAACATACCTTAGTGCTAAAACATTTATAAAGACATGATCATAATTATAACTGTGTTTATTAAGTTCTATATACTGACTACGTGATCTGCAGGTCACCTAGGGGTGTGTGTGAGATGACAAGCTAACCGTACCATTAATCATGCCTGCATTGGGTGCAGTCTACTGATGGCCGTCAATGGGTGACTGTTTTAGGGGTCAAAGGGAAACAGAAAGGGTAGTGAAATTGGTCATCTTTGTCAGTGGGAAAAGAAGTGGCTTCTCACTCCTTTCTGTTTAACGGTGAGCAAGAAAGAAACACAAGTAATAGAATCAGTGCAGAAGCTAGACAATTTTAGATTCAGAACATTGCTGAAACATAGCCTCCTTCCCCCGAAAAAATTAGAAATGTGAAAGTTCCATCAAGAAACTGTACGAGTTATTTTATTTCTACAAATAATAAAAGTTACCTGTAAACTAGAAAAAGCTTTTGGAAAAATATTTTAAATAATTGTTTTAAATGAAAGTATTTAATAATCCAATAACACCATTTTCATGGTGATCTTAACATGCTAAAAAATGTTGTGTTTATTTACAGTTTAATAAAAGCACTTGTTAAACACATGAAATAATATTACAAATTTCAGTAAAACTTATTTTAATGTTAGCATCATTTGATTCATTTTATACAGTCCTACATTATAAGTAATGACTATAATTATATATTTAAGGTAAAAAATTAATTGAAAATTTAAGAAATATCAGACTACTGTACCCTGACTCATAAAATTACAATGATTTTCTGAAGTTCTAAATTCTTTTTCAATTTTTTACTAATTTTTTTCTATTAGTCCCGTCATAGGATCCTGTGACTTGGTGGGCCCCAGGCGATTGCACGGTCTGCCCATGCCTAGCACCGGTACTGAATAGAATGCATGAGGCCAGACTGAAAACTACATTTATTTAACTTATAATGGCAATGGAATATATTCTTGGGTGACAAGGGTGGAGGGCAGCAGTCCTACAGCCTATCCCCATGGGTTGCTACTGGTTACAGGAAAACTTTACATTTTTTACAGCATCTTTGGGATAGTATACAGTATCTGTCCTTTTTGAGTTGTCTGTTAATTTATGTCATAAAATTTCTTTTGCTAAAATACAATTTAACTTCTCTTTTAACTTTATAACAGTAGTTTCTGTCTTAAAGGTCTTTTGAATTAAGCCATTTTTACCAGTCTTTTTCTATCAGTATTCTTTTTTTCTAACTTACCATTTGTCTTATTTTCTCTATTGATTGCAAGCTTGATTTAAGGATTCCTTCAGGAAATTATACATACCTTCTATGGACACATTGAAGATTCTTTCCTTCTTTTGTGCCAGTATCAACTTGCAAAGGAATCCCATTCTATAGAGTTGGTCAAGGGAGGCCACTAGACTAAATTAAAGTATTGTGGTCCTAGTAAGTTAAAGATGCCACAGTCATTGGAGAGGGAAAGTAGGAGCTCTACAAAGGAAAAGTGCCATATTTTTCAGGTGCGAGTATATCAGAATGACAATAATAATAATAATTGATATAAGATTGAGGTATGGTGAAGGACAAAGCCCTTCATATGATTTTGGAAGGAGGAAGGGCATTTCCTGGATGTGAAGAGGGCAGGAAGGAGGATGCAATAAAGAACATTGGGATGATAATAGTCTTCTTGGGTGCCACTTGCTGTGACCTGTCAGCCTGGGTGATCTTACCAATAGCTAAGTGAAAAAGGCATTCTATAGCCAGCTTGGCCCTCCACCTCACTGAAGCTCACAAGTCACTCTGCCATTATAGTGCTTCAGGACAGTGTATTATATGCACATGTTTTCTTGAGCCCAAAAATTCTTATGTCCACTCCTTTACCAACATTTGTTGAAATAAAAATGAATGATAACAATGAGTGTAGTAGATAAAATCTGATAACCAGAAATGTTCTACTCCCATGCAATAAAAAACTATTTTGCATTGAAACATGAGCTACATATTCAATATAATATTCTTGATGTCAAAATAACAAAACACCCTCTTATATCTAGCAAAATGTGTGCTCTAGAAAACGTGTGCAATTTTTTTTACTAAAATTCTTTTATTTACACAAAAAAAATGATTACACAACAATAATAAACAAGATAAAGTAAGTTGCACATACATATGTAAAGAGTAAAACATTTTTTTATTTATTGATTATTTTCCTATCTCTTGCCATTGTATTTAAATGAAAGAAAATGGTTAATTTTGTTTTTAGTTGTTGCAGAAGATGCCTAGATGCTGTGTTTCTAATTGTTCTAATGGAATAGTTGGTAATTGTGAGCTAAAATATTTTTAATTTTCTAAGGAGCAATATTTAATAAAGGGGTAGATGATCACTTGCATTTAAAGAGAAAAAAAAGTAAATCAGAGAAAAAATTCTGATTTTTTAAAATCATTTGAAAAACAAAACCACAACAAACTAATAAATAAACTTTCTTCTACTCAAGCATAAAAATTTAAAGAAGTTTGTCATTTTGCAGAAAATGTTGAATATGTCATAAGAGATTCATGATAGAAGCACCCACAAATAAATTATCATAATGATCTCCCGCACAGCACAACTAATTCTTGCTTGTGACCTACTTAGCAAGTTTAAGCTCAAAAGCTTGTAATATTCCAGAATAATGCATGACTTACATCCATATATGTATTCAAATTGATTTTTCAGTACAAAATCTCCATCTGAAGCAATCTTATGCATCTTTGGAACAGCACAAATGGACCTTAATCCTCTTGTGGGTGTGTGCAGGAGCATGGGTGTGGGTGTGGGTGGGAGATATTGGTGCATGTAGGTGTTGGGTTGTGAGTGGGTGGGGTCGTGTGTGTGTGTGTGTGTGAAATTACAACTGAAAAGAACCTGAAATATGGATTTTACAACTAATATTCAAGATCATATTATTGAAGTGATTCTAATACTTTCCTTTCCTGTACTACAGTGAAGGGGGAAAAGTAAAAGCAGTCAGTCATGGAGATAATGGTAGCAAAACAGAGCAAGTGATAGAGCATTAGTAGTTGGAAGAAATTTGCTTATGCTGGTCCTCTACATGTATGTTAGATATGAAAATGAAGAGTGGTTATAGACCTCCATCTTCCTGCCAGATCGATAGCATATTTATAATATTTCTTCTGCATGCATTTTTGATTAATGAAGCATGGCAAAACTCTATTATGTACATCATGTTACTGTTTCAATATGGATTTTGCTTAATTAAAATATGTTATTCTGAAAGTGTTTTTAGTAAAAATAAATAAATTAGTATAAAAGCCCAGGATTTACTTGAAAATATGGGGGTGAGGGTATGCATACTGAGGATTTCACAGTATTTCACCCACAGTATTTATGGGCTGATCAATCTACTAATAATAAATATCATAAAATTATGTTCTTAATTGCCATTTAATTAATAAACAGTATGTACTACAGATACATACTAGGTGCAGGTGTGTACTAGGCACTACAGGTAGGCCTATTTACAAATTTCTTATTCATGATTTCCAAATAAATACCATCTGGCAACAATGGGCTGTCAGAATGTGCGACTTTGTGAACTGTATTAATGTATGATATAGTGACTGGTGCGCTACATCTTGGTGAGCATATTATAGATTGCAGGTATTAAGAAATAGTAATTGATTGCCTTGAATTGGGGACTACTATACATTTTCTACTTTTAAGTTCTATTTTCTATATAACATTGCTTTTTTTAAAACCAAAAATTATCTCCAGGATAGTTGACGTTATTGGGTGCTACAATTAGTACCCTGCAGCAGCTAAAATATTGGTGAACAAAAGCAGTCAAATATGATTTTCCAAAAAGATACATTCAAACTGCTCAAAAACAACAAATAAAATACTCTTGTAAAACAGCAATAAATTAAATATTTTAACAAAAATAGTTATCATGAATGCCACTATAACATAATAATATACATAACAACATTCTTTTCCTACCAAGAATATTTTTAAAAAAATGCCGTTCCATGACCAATTTAATGACGACCCTTTCCTTGGATCCATGGTATTGTTTTCTGTCAGCTGAAGAGATGCCCTGAGTATGAGTATTCAGTTAGTATGCAGAGTATGAGAATTGGGGGACTACCACAATCAATTGTTTGCATTTTTCAGTGAAAATCAAAATCGTTTCATTAATTTTGAATTTGAAACTGTATTTTGTACCTTAAAAATAATCTGCTTTTTATTCATGTTTTCGCAATTACCTTCTAACAAACCTCAGTAATGCCTGTGACATTGTGAATTTGTAATAATGTCATGCACTGAATGTATTAATGCTACAAAAAGAAGAAGATAAGAAGATATTATTACACAACAGGTGTGACTATTTTGTGTTCAAATAATTTCATGTTTATGCCACTTAGTTTAATTTTCACCCAAACTTTCAAAGACTTTCCTAATTTCAAGAAATGCCTAATATAGATTTTTTAAATTTGTTGTTTGACATTTTCTGAATAATTTTGAATAAAATAAGGTTATTACCATTATTTCTAAGTAAATTTACCTCCATCGAGACTCAAAATATCTGACAAAATAATGGATACTTCCATATGCAGGGAAAAAAATTTTGAATATATTAGAGGAACTTAAGGAAGTTCATTGCGACAGAAAAGAGCCCAAGTGTAGCCACATTAGATCAAAATAAAAAAATCAGGAGATTAAGGGCACAACATGTAGCAGAAACAAGCCCGGAGCTGCATATAAGCAAAACAAGCATGTGCTTTGGAGGTCCAGGGCTGACACCTTTTTTTTTAAAGCGGAGAACCCAAGTCGCCAACTCTTAGTTACATATTGACAGAATAAATGTTTGCTTTTCTGAGTGAAACCGTCCCCAAATCATTGAGAAAAGCTTTCTTTTGTCCATCTGTTTTTTTGAGTGGGGAGCCCTGCGGACCGTACGAGTAAATCTGGCCCTGAGCAGAAATAGGCAAAATCAGATTTTCACTTGTATTAATTGATTTTTATGAACTAGCAAGCTTAAGCATTTTGCCAAACCCCTTATCTTTTGTGATTAAGCTTAAAATATAGGTTTTCTGTGTCGGGATAGCTTGCAATACCTAACTTACATTTCTTTCAGAACTTATATAGTGTTTTAAATGTTTTTTAATGTTAAATATGTAATATTGGGAATACTATAACCAATGTTTAAAATAAATTCACGAATAATATTAATAACACGTTTATTAAATTGCTAGTAGAAAATATCAAACTATATTATACATTTTGTTTGAATTATATATTATTTCACATTTAATAACTTTTTAACTTAACGAACATTTATCTCTTTGTTTTATGTAGCTAGAACAATTGACAAAAATTAAACCAACAAATGAAATTACTATTAACAATTTAATGACATGTAAACTATTTTTGAGAGATGTGTTGAGATAGTGTTATTACATATAATTCTATTAATGCTGAATATTGCTTTTTCCATAAATCAATATTAGAAAATCAAGATCTTTATATTTGGCTAAAACAATTAAAAAGAAACTAGTACTATTTTCAATAATAGACATTTATTTTTTCTTTATTATGATAGGTCTATCTATCTTCTACAGGAACAATAAAAAATCCTGAAACATTTCAGTGAAGAGTGCTTGAGAAATTCAAGCCTGCGCACCATCGCACGGCGATCCACTGAACCAAAACTGACAACTCAGTGTTGGATGTCAGTACGTTTTCGTGTTCTTGTGATGTAAGTTGTATTACGTGTGTTTCGAGTTTCATGATGCTGAAATGTGAATATGTTTAAGTTATTCAGTGATTTTATTTAAAGTGCAGTGTGAGTAATTAATCTTTTCAACATTGTTCACGCACCTACTTTAATTTCGCCTTGAGAGCGCTACGTCGTCGAGATGATTTTCCTTCGAAAGAGGTATGAAGTACACTATTATCCTGTTTGATGTAAACTATTAGTAATATAACTGTATAATGCAATTTAAAATGAATAATGCTAGTATTTTACAACATGTGAAATGTATAGACAATTGCATCACGTATTTCGTACTAGGAGAATCAACCTAAAAAAACATGCTTAACACAGGGCCTAAATGCACCAATTGGAAAGTAGAATTATGTTACAACGTTGAAGTCTCTTATTTTATCTTCTCTACTTAACTCAATAAACAATTCCACAAAAAATGCTCTTGAGTTCAATATCTTGAAGCCATTCCCTTTCGTTGACGTACTTCAGTTTATTTGGTATACTTTATACAATTTTTGTTGGTATATGAAAGAATAATTTTCTCCGTTATTGTTACATTATTTGCTTTAATTCTTCTTTGGAATTAATTGGATATTTTCTTATCATTTTTTCCAATTTTCTCAAAGATCTTCTATAACATTAAATGTCTGGTAAGTGAGGAGGTAGATAAGGTACCTTTAGATACGCCTGCCAAAGTAAAACTACCTGCGACTTGCGCTTGGAGTCATTATTATTACCATAAATGAGAAATTTATCGACAATACCAAGATTTTCCGCACTTAAAAAAATGTTTAAGAATGTCAAGGTAGTTGAACCCGTGAGTTTGCTCTATGAACACCAACTGGTTCACCGACACCATTATACAGCAGCCAGAAGCGCATCTAGATATTCAGGCGCCCATGGCAAGAAGATAATTTGTGCCCTTGTCAGGTAACGTCAAATTAGGGTGATTGTTATTTGTTTTAGCGGGTATTCTCGAAATAGGGTCCCTTGTGAGTGGCACCCATGGTGCGTATCATGTCTGCCATACCGTTGATATTTTCTTATCCTTTTTTCCAATTTTCCCGAGGATGTTCTATAACATTAAAGGGCTGGTAACTGAGATTGAATGATTAGGTACCTTTAGACAATTGTTCGCCAGCCTGCATGCAGCCCTACATTACATTTTGCGGTACAACCTAAGGAAGTCGTTTAAAGCGGCACTTCGCGCCGTTCCGGCGTTAACAAGGCAGTTAGAATTCTGGAGGCTTTCTTGAAAAGTGCTTTCTTATAAAAGTGAATAGGTAATTATGCGTTGAATAGACACAAGGATGTTTATTGCGAACGCGAGGGACAAAGGCCTGAGCCTCGCCGTGACTTGGATCCGGGCGAGCGAAGCGAGAAAACTTGCCTTTGAAACTAAATTAGCGTTACAATGCGGCGGGGACAAAGCATATAAAGGCGAACCATGAAAATCTCCTAGTAAGTTTTACTCATTTAGAGCACTTACAGTAATTAGGACTTAAGCCCCGCCGCCACGCTTCTCTAAGGGGGTACCGTATACTAAACTTTAACCCATTTCGCCATCCGTGCATCATGGTTGCTCGCACGTCTCCTTTCAGCTCTTCATTTGGCCTCCTTCACACCCGAATTCTCTAATCGGAACCACAGATATTAAATTTCGACTCGCCAGAGAATATTACTTTACTCAATCTTCACCTTTTTTCCTTGTTCTTTTTGCTTTTTCTGCCTTTTCCTTCGGTTCGCTTATATACCAATGGCTATCTTCTAGCAACACGGATTTCGAATTTTGACCTCCTTAGTACTTTTTGCTCGGCTTCGGGGTTTATTTACATCCGAAAGTTAATTTCTAACTGTGCAGCAGTAATTTTTGTTGCGGATACTTTATTATTATTATTATTATTATTATTATTATTATTATTATTATTATTATTATTATTATTACTATTATTATTACTATTATTATTATTACTATTATTATTACTATTATTATTATTATTATTATTATTATTTCAAGGTGATTCTTTTCTCCTATAGAGAATGTCTTCGGGGCATCCTCCTCCAGATTCAGTTCTTTCTTCATGCAGTTTAATTCCATCTTCATTGATGTACCGATGATGTAGACTTAGTCGCTGTGCTTTCTTCATTGATGGCATTTTTTTATATTTCTCGGCATAATTTACCTTTTTCATGATGGTAAATAACCAGCTGTCGTTGCTCGAAAGTGTGGCGTTCTTTCCTCTGCGACCTATTTCGCTTAATTGTTGAAATTCGTACGACTTTGTCTCGACAACCCTTGAATGCGCGGTGTCCTTGAATGTGCAGCGAGTGTGAGGGTGTAAGCATCGTCTTCTCAGATCAAAAGATCAGTTAGTACGTTGCCCCAATGCATGTCCAAATGGTAAAAGTAAAGTCTGTGTCGGTGATTCATTTTTATTTTAATCCAACAAATGCTATTTTTGAAAGTAATTATATTGTGTACGTACGTAGGAATATTTTATTCTTTTGAATTTGAGCTCTAACTAACGGTGTTTTTTGAGGAAAGCTTAAGCAATGTTTGTTTAAGTGAATCATTGTCCAAAAAGTTTTGTCACGTTATACGTATTTACCATTCAATAAATTTCGGAGGCGAATTTTCCTAAAGCAATTATTGCATAAAATGCGATTGTAATTATGCGTTGCATTCAAGGGTATTTTGTCAATCGCAAAGGCTGAAAGTCTGATTCACGTTCTCAAATTGGCAACGCGTAATGAAGTGTCAAATTGTCCGTAAAAGTCATTTGAATAAAAATGGGAGTGAGAAAGCGTGTGCAAAGCAGGTGAAATATACGATGTTTTGTGGATAATCCATTTGTGCGATATGGAACCGCAACAGTAGTTAATGCTAAGTTGTAATGCTAAGCTTTATTGCAGGAGAACACGTTTTGAAAACGATCGACGTTAGGAGCAAGTTTTAAAAATTGAACAAATCGAATAAAGCTACATTTTAAGAGTTGCATAAGCTTTATTTGGTAGAACAGTATTATAAATTTATTAGAGAATCAAACTTAATTTTGCGAAACAACTTTCTTGTGACGTCTCGGGTATTCGACATTTTTGAAACCACAGGAGTGAGTCCAGATAAACCGAATCTATATTTTGAAGTAAAACGCGTTGGTATTGGATGGACTCGATTGTGTTTAATGGTTTTCGCGTGCTCCGAAAACCGGAGTCTGGGTGCCGACGTGAAAATGCGCAAGCGAAGAAAGATAAATTGGCCGAATCATTATTTTGGCGAGCACACTTAAGCCAACTACCACAACACAACTTTTTGAATCGCTACTCGTACGACACGAATTGCATTTATTTACTTGCGTCAGCGGTTTTTCTAAGAAAGAAAGGAAGAATGACAAATAGAAAGAAAAGAAAGAGCCTGAAATATAAAAGAGAAAGACCGAAAGAAAGAAGAGAGAAAGGTAAAAGGAGGGAACGAACAGAGGGAACGAAGAAAGGAAACGAAGAAAGGAAACGAAGAAAGGAAGCGAAGAGAGGAAACGAAGAGAGGGAACGAAGAGAGGGAACGAAGAGAGGGAACGAAGAGAGGGAACGAAGAGAGGGAACGAAGAGAGGAAAAAATAAAGGAAGGAAGGGAGGATGGCCGGAGGGAATTTCGCCTACGGTTGTATTTGGTCGAAGTAATCGTTTTGTCTTGAACACTGCGAAACAATAATTTTACAGCAGAATTTGCGCGAGATATCTGTACACTCGACGGCTGGTAAACGCAAGTGAGGCACGAGAAGAGTCGCTCTGCGCATGCGGAATAGAGCCACATACTCATATGGTCACTGTTCAAAAACATCCATTAAGTGGTTGTATTCGTCCACTAATTTGTTTTGCCTACGTTAGTACTTTGGTTCATTGGTTTTCTTGTGTTTTTTCAGTGGTATATTTAAAAGTACAAAAAATTCGTGAAAGATTTTTTAATAAGTTACTATTATGGTCAAGCGAAAGAGCACATCCTACGGCCTGAGCTCAGCCACACATTTTATATTATTATTATAATCATTATTATTACTATTATTATTAAGCCTTCTTTTAAAATAAATGTTTTCCTGTATATATCTTTTACAGCAAATGTAGGTTGGGTAGGTGTCAGGGACTACTTGCAAATTCAAATTGTGTTGGACGCTTTGAATGGGAGGCAAGACTCGTGCGTTTTATTTCAATCTGCTACGCGTGGCCATATTCAGATGACAATCGATAATATGCAGTTTTCAAATTAAGGTTACGAATGCTAATAACCTCCTTCCTCACCCATTGGCGTACGTGTACTGGTTGCGAGGAGGAAGGTACGTGACTTGCTCTTCCACTATGTGACGCGGGCCCTTTCTCAGTAAAAGTTTTCCCTTCGGCAGAGACTGGTGCATTATCCAAGGTGCGGTCTTCCCGGCTCTTGCCTGATTCCTCGCATGAATACATCCCGCAGGTACCTTTTGATCTAATGTCTTTGTCACCTATGTCTAGCGAAGCGTGCGGGTCCATCGTTGCTAGCCGCGAGTGTACGGGGTGTTTCCAAATCGTAGTCCAGGGCCAAAGTGAATTGCGAAAAGAATGAAACATGGAAGGTGAGACAGTGGCCATGCCATATCACACATTTAAGCAACCATGAACTCGTGAGCCGCCAAACCGAAAGGAATCATCTTTGCACCCACATAAGCCGTCAAAGTTTGTAACATTCATTCTGAACCACTCTGAAATTTGAACTTTGAAATTGAGGAAAGTATGTCGTTATTTTTGTATACCTTTCCGGAAGCAATTAGAAACTTAACCCTCCCCTGCCAGAAATTTCCGTAAAGTTGAAGATATGACTAGTTAGGAATATATACAAAGTATCCCTTTTGAAAATTAAGTTGTTCCTTCATGCAAGAGGGTCTTTATCTCATAAAATGCAGGTATTTGTGAACTACTATCTCCAAACGGGACGCGCCCACGCAACATTGTATGATGTTGCG